TTTCTAATTCTTCCTCAGTCCCATGGGACAAGGTAAAAAACCATCTTCTAGGTGTCTGGAATAATACTGATGTTTCCCTGGACTTCACTTCCCTTCAAGAACAGATAAGACAAATTAGTTTGGTCCATGTTTCATTTTCTATTGCCTCTGAGGTTGCCAATTCATGTTTGGCTATCCTTCAACATTATACTTCCACCACTGCTTGGTTCCCATCATTTATTAATTTTGGAATTTTATTATTAATCATTATTTTGCTCTTGTTTCTCTTTCCAGTCTTCGTCTGATTGCTAAGTAGAGGGATCAGACTCGTCTTGAAGACTTTACAATTAAAGGCCAAAAACAAAAAAGGGGGAGATGGCGTGAACCAGGCTACTCACACTGTATGACAAAGTCCTGATGTGGGGGAGTTTCCTGAAAGTCAGGAAGCTCCATAGCTGTTTCCTGCTTCTTCCTTTAATTTTGTTGATGGCAATAATTGTGATTCTGGGAATAGGCTCTAGATTTCATAAAAGCAATAAATTTAATGTTGATGTCACCAATGATATTAAAGAAATCATTGTTAATTTGTGATTTATTCCTTTAATGGTAGGTTGAGAATTGTTGATGTATGTGCTAGTGAAACAGTAGCTCATGTTGCTCCGTGTTTTCCAGCCTAACTCATTTAACATATTTACCCTTAGCAATAAAAAGTTTCGGCAAGGTGTGTATGAGAGAATTACTGGAACCAAGCCTAGTGCAGACTTTTACTCAAAAAAGTCTCACAGGCACCTCGGATGCAGCAGACCCTTAAAAAGGGAACTTGTACAGCAAAAGTAGAAAAGAAAAAAAAAAGGGAACACAACGCCCTGTCCTTGATTAACAACACAATAGTTATGGCATCAGTTTCCCCACAGGAAGAATTCAACAATTAAGCCCCCCTGGTGCTTAAACAAACCATAAAAGGTTAATACATCACTCAAAGACAACTGCTGACCACACAAAAGGTCCTTAAGTATAGCTAGTTTCACATATGAACAAAAAATGTATTATGTTCAGATGATCAAAGGCTGGGTGACATCAACTCAGAAAAATCAAGATGTTCTAAAAATCACGAGTCTGGAAAGTGCAAGTGTATAAATAATGAGCCTGTGCCAATAAACTTCAGGACACACTTGCACCTGATCGAGTGTCTGTGTCTCCTCACTCACTCTCGTCACCGATGCCGTCACTTCCTCCAGGGTCCCTGACATGACTTTTGCCGAGCTGGTCTCCCGGGGAGTTCTCCCAGATGCCCAAGTACTGTCTGCTGCCAGCAGTCCCTGCCAGGAACTATCCTAGGCTAAAGGGAGCTGTCCCAACCAAGTTTCAATCCCCTCCCAGTATCAATCCACACCCAATCTACTGGATGGGTATGGGTAGGGGAAGATGAGAAGTAAAATATCTGATTTCTTTTTTCAATGCTAAAAGTTGCAAGGAAAAGGGGTGTGTTTAAAGCAATTCATGGATAGCTTGTATTTGAGCAAAGGGTATAGTGGATCAACTCCTCAGCTAAAGAAAGGTTCTGGGTCTTCTGTTTTAACATTTTACCTGTCCCTATATCACACAGAGAGATACAATTTAGGTTAGATGGGTGATATGGATCTTTAATGCCATCATCATTATTTGGGGGGACAAAGGTTTTGAACAGAAAAATAATACACACGGGGGCTTCCCTGCTGGCACAAGGGGTAAGTCTCAACACTATGAAACTATTGGCAGCCACTGCAGCACAAGTTTGATCCCTGGCAGGGGGGTGACCCACATAGAGCAGCAGACCTCTCCTGTCTCACCCACTGAATACCTCAGCAGTGTATTTCAGTAGAGCTGCCTACTCTGCTCCCACACTGTCTCTAGTGAATCTTCTCACCCCTGCACCTCTGGCCTACACCACAGCTCTTTTTTTTTTTATTACAAAGTTTATTTTTACATCATTTTGCACTTTTTTTTTCATCTCAATTGTAATCCCCGCGCACCACAGCTCTTTTATGTATAAATAAGTAATTTTTAAAAAAGAAAAATAATAGACAATGAAGGCATCATAATGCTACCTTCCATTAATTAAAATAGAAGTCATCGTGTACAGCTTCTTTTAAGTTCATTCATTTTTTTTTAAAGATTTATTTATTCATACAGAACTGGGGTACAGGCCAGAGATGCGGAGGGTGAGAGGATTCACCAGAGACAAAGTGGGGAGCAGAACAGGCAGATCAACGAAGTACACTGCTGAGGGGAGCAGCGGGCGGGTCAGGAGAGGTCTGCCACGCCATGTGGATCTCCTCCAGGGCAGGAGGGGATTTACCTCATGAGGAAGTGGCTTAAGCTTCTCAGTGCTGTGCTTTAACCCGCTGCGCCACCAGGGAGGGCCTCATTCATTTTTTTAATGTCTGATGGCAACTCTGGGCTGAAAACAGTACACTTTCCTTTTTCTTATTAAAGATTTTATTTGTGCATATAGAACTAGGGCGCAGGCCAGAGGTGTAAGGGCAGTGAGAGGATTCACCAGAGACAGAGGGGGAGCAGAACAGGCCAAATGATGAAGTACACTGCTAAGGGGAGCAGTGGGCAGGTCAGAAGAGGTCTGCCATGCCATGTGGATCACCTCCGGGGTGGCTATTGAACTGGCACTGACGAGTCTTTGGCCAGCTTACAGTGCTGTGCTTTAACCCACTGCGCCACCAGGGAGGGTCCAGCGGTACACTTTTCTACAAGAGTTAGCCCTGTTCTGACATAAAAGACATTACCGTATACTGACCTCAGAAGAGGAATGACCAGAGCAAAGTTTCAGGTCAGGAGGACCTACAGAAGGGGAACCCCCCAGCTGGCTGGCAGGGTGCTCTGCTGCAGGGTGGATGAAAGCTTTGATCAGAGGTTTTTCCACATTGCTACTCAAAGGGCTGCACCAGTGTGAATTTTCTGAAGAACTCCACGTGGAAATTCTATCTTAAGCTGGAATTTAGTAGTAGAGGTGCTCACCACTGAATTCTCTGATGCAAAGACTCTGAGCTGCACCTGAAGACTTCACCACCTGAAAGCATGAAGGTCTCCCAGGTCTTTCCCACACTCACTGCACTGCTGGGAGTCTCCCCAACTCGAGTCAATGGAGTAAAATATGGATGACAGTCCTCTGTAAAATGTCTCTTCCCTCTCTATTCTCAGGCCAGTTTAGAGAATCCCCTACACGAGCAGCAAATAGAATCAGTGTGTTCCTTTTTCGGATAATCCTCCCAGGAACTGTCTCAGACCTCTACCACTCCAATACATAAACACCCTCATTTTTAGCAAAAGGCCTCAAATGACCAACTCTGCAGGCCAAGCTGTCATCACTGCCACATCTTTTTCATCCTTCCAGCAGCCTCAGAGGGCAATGCCTTCTTTCTAAAGCCACCCTGCCTACTGTACCTTGATTCTATCCTTTCTCACTGCAAGTAAATTACGTTTGAATAATCATTATAATAGATCCGGTTGGCAATCCAAAAGAAATTGGACTATGTCAAGGACTCCCTAAATATCTGTGGAATATCTGACTGAATCCCATCCTGGGGTGTTTAATGCCCTCACAAACTACAAATCATGTTGGGCTCAGAGATAAACACCAGTCCCCAACCACTGCCCCTGGGACAACGCGCTGGCAGCAAACCATCCTGGCATAGGGGAGTAGGGGGCTGCAAACCCTCAAGTCCCACCCACTGAGCACACCCAGGCCAGGCACAAACAAGGGGTTCTCCCAACTTCCTAGAGAACTCCCACTAGCTGGGGTCAGCTCTTCTACTTGGGACTCTTACCTCATGGTCCTGAAGCAAGGTGGCTGTGGCTGAGGCACTAGTTGACTTTATGGAGACTCAACAGGTAAGGGCAAATTTAGATGCACCAGATGAAACCATGGCCTGCAAAGTGTATTACAAACATGTGAAAAGTTAGTGTTCTCTGCAGCTGTATTGAAGGAAAGATTGGCATCTGAGGCAAATTCTCTGACTGGACAACCAGGATGAAGGAAGAGTCAACTTGAGGGTTGGGAAGGAGGGCGAGCTTGGGTCAGTGGCTTGTGGCAGTGGCACCTGCAAACTGCCTTCATTTTCCAGCCCTCAGAACCTTGGGGAAAGGTGGCACCAGATGATTCCCTAAGGAATCAGAGCATAGAGGTCTTCTTTCTGTCCCCACAGACCTGACTACCACTAGCATTTCAGCCCTAGCCTAACACAGGTCCTATAATGCCCAAGTTCAGCAAGTGGTTGATGGGTTGTTACTGAGCCCCCTCCCTCTCCAGGTTATCTCCAGAATGGTTCCAGTCCCTTCCCTCTGGTTCCTACTGAGACTCTAGCTCCCCTCTATCTTCAGGGGTTCACCCAGCCAGAACATTTTGACATTGCTTCATTCCAAAATCTCAGGGATGTTGTGAGGTTATTGCATATTACTTGGTAATTTTTGAATGTTTTTTGCTTTTAAGTATGTGTAAAGTTTTACAGTGGTCCAAGAATGCTTCATGAGTTCCCAGAAATTTCATGCACTTTTTTTCTAGTGGGAGCTCTCCAGTGTCTCAAAGATCCCTTACCTAGTAACTTTAGGAAGCTGCCTTAGACAGGAATCATTTAGAACAAGTAAAAGTGGAACTTAGTATCAACACCAGCCCCTAAATCTCAGCTATAAGATGATTATTAAAAAAAAACACAAGCCATCCGTCCACATGACCCAGAATAACCTTATATCGTTAATCATGAAAGACATGTATATCATACTGTGTACAAAATGTATGTTTATAATATACTTGTTCTGTTATGAAAGACTGAATGACAAAGGATCTCACCAAGGAAAGCAGATGATCAAGGACAGTGTAAACAGCTTATGCAAAACCAGAAACTGAGGTACACAGCATGGGGTACTTAAGAGAAACTCACAAAATGGGCAGGTGGGGTCAAATTGCCATACAAATTCATATTAAGACCACAGTGAAATTATGAACCTTTGGATAATAAGTCACCAAATCATTAAAATTGTAAGAAATATTTTATTTCACGAAAGTGTTATATATACCGGTAAAACTTTAATTAGGGAAGGATAAAAAATGTACATGGACATAGCTTCAAAAATTCTGAACTATTTCTGGGCCTATGAGATCTGAGGGCAGACTTTTCTACTGGGCCTAAAGTTACGGTAACTCAGCTTTTCCTTGATCGTTTTCTATCACTAGAAACCATTGTTATGGCCAGATTTTGAACCCCAAGTAAATAGAAAGAGGGGGACAAACAAGGAAAAGAGAGGTCTCCCTGAGATAGCAAGGTGAGAGTGAAGAGGCCAGGCAGTGAGGTTGCAGGAGAGTGCATCACGTGTATAACCAGGTGAAGATAATTTCATTCCTCACTTCTCTTGGAAAAAGCACTACGTTGGAAGAGTCTTCTTCTAAGATGTGAGACCTCTTGCTCATCAAAAATATGCTCAGGTTCAAGTTGGTCACAATTGTTTTCTAATGGTCCAGTGAGGGAACTGCTAACTGAAGGGCCATTTCTTGGGCTTAGCAGTAGGTTCAGAAGGAAATTAGGCTGTTGACAGCAAAGATTGGATATATGGGAAGAAAAAGGGTGCTGAAGTGACTGGGTCCTGAGTGGAAAGAAGAGAAAAACCAGTGGCAGTTGTGCCAAGGGACTTATGAGAACAAAATATCTGATAGGACTGAACTCCCCTTCTCTACCTCTACTACAGCATCTTGCGTAGTCTATATTACTCCTGGATATTTGAGGGGGGAAGTTGTAGGTGCTGAGTACTGTCTGTATCAAGGCTGGCAAGAAGTGAATGTGGAAATAAAACATTGGAGTACAGGGATGGGGAGTTAAAGGGATAGGTGACATCCCGGTTTCTAGTGACATACAGTGGCATAAAACTGAACTTGAACATAAGCAGTGAATATAGGAGTAAGAGCAGATTGAATGTATAATAGCCCTAAGGCAAGAGGTAAGTGGAAGAATTTCTGCCTCAAGTTTGGCTACTGGAAGCAGAAAGGACTTGGAAGGATATGGAAACCATCAATCAGCTGTTTATTTGCACAGCCCTTTTCTCAAGATGGGTCTTAATCTGGGGAAACACATATTGGGATACAGAATAAACCCCCATGTGGGTTTTATGATGAACTCTGTTGTCAAGGACATGATTTAAATCCATTATATTCAAATTCATGTATTAGTAATTTTTAAAATATGCAAAAAACTTCAAATAAGGCAATAATGAATCCATTCATCCACAGCACAGCATAGTGGTTAAGAGCACAGACCAAACTGGGTGTGATCACTGGCAAGTTACGTAACATCCCCACCCCTCTTCAAATTGGAGTAAAAATAACATCACAGATGACTGTGTAACTCTGTAAATTAATAAAGAGCATTTAACTAAACACTTAAAACAGGTGAAAGGTAAACAAATTATACCTTAATAAAGTTGTGGGTTTTTTGTTTTAAGAATCCACATCAAAGAGATACTGTAAAAATAAAACTATAACCTGTCTGGCACTGTGCCCGTATACAATAAAAAATAAATACTAGTGGTTAGTATTAGTGTAATCAAGAAAAGATTAAAGACCACTGAAGATTTTTTTTTTAAAGAATTTAAGGAATTACTGAGCGGGCTGAAACTGTGGATTATTTAATTCCTCTCATCTGACAGATGAGAAAGCTAGGGACCAGCAGATGAAGTGCCTTAGCAAAGTCTGCTCAGTTCCTATTAGGAAAATTCCCACTACTACTCCCACTTGCCTCAGAAATGTGGACATGTGAACAATTAAGAATGTGTCTCCTCAAAGAAATAACACATAGGAGGACACACAAAACTCATGTAGAGATGTTGAGACAAGGGCAAGCGAGAGAAGGACCCTCGCCTGTCAGCCAGTGTCCCTGGCAAGTGTCACCCAAGTCATGAGTTAAGTGCTTTGGCAAAGCAAGGCCCTCAGCAGTCAGATAAACAGGCTCATCACTGTGGCGAGGTGCCTGGGGACAGTGAAGCTGCAGTCTTCTCTGCTACTTCCTGACATAGGATCTGACAGCAACAGCTGCTGTGGACCAAAGTGAATGCAGCAGAGTTCTTGGGTGCAGTCTGGGCAGCCCTAAAGTGGGGAACAGCTGCTAAGGAACTGCTTCTGCCCATGCTGAGCATTTTGGCCTTAGTTTTATCCTCTGGCCTCACCTAGCCAGGCCCCAAGAATTCTAAGGGCCTTCATTTACAATCCTATACATTTCTTGTCAGTTTCCTCCACTATGACACCCTTTTCAGATGATGAGGAAGCCTAGATGTGACGTGACCCAAGCTTCCCATTTCTGGATAGCATGTTGGGAAATTTTTTGAAACTAAAAAAAAGCTGACTAAATTATTCTCATGCTTAACAGTGGACAGGAGCAAGGGTTGGGTCCTCTAGCCCACCACCTCATAACATTTCAGGGGGAAACCATGAATCAATTCTGTTATTCTTAGACTATGGCAGTGGCAACCTATTCCTCCATTTCTCCTGAAGAGTTAAATAACCCAGGCTAGATGGCTAGCACAGACCCCTGGTATGTGAGCCACTGGGGGAGCAGGGAGGCGAGGAAAAAGGGGGCAAAGGAGAATTAAGGCCTGAGACAGTTTTTATGATTTAACTCAGTACATTGAAACTTTTCAAGGAATAGTTCATAAAAGTGCCTCATCCTTTTTGATTAACATTTAAATAAAAGTCAGGACAGTGAAGATGTGTCCATTCATTTGATCTGAGGAATCGGGGGGTGGTTATAACTAAGTCTAACTTCAGCTTTCCTATTTTTCAGATCATTCCATACAGTGAATGCTTTGATGTCGGAGGAGGTGTGAGCTCCGACTAAAAGTCTTCTGACACTCCTGGCACTCATAAGGCTTCTCTCCAGTGTGAATTCTCTGATGTATGATAAGCTGGGAATGCTGGCTGAATGTTTTCTCACACTCATTACACTCATAAGGTTTCTCTCCAATATGAATCTTTTGGTGGAGAAGTAGTTCAGAGTTATCCCAAAAAGTTCTTGCACATTCATTACACTGATGAGGTTTCTCTCCAGTATGAATTCTTTGGTGGACAATGAGGTGAGAGGTTCGCCTGAAAGCCTTTCCACACTCAAAGCATTCATAAGGTTTCTCTCCAGTGTGAATTCTCTCATGTCTAAGAAGTTCTGAGTTCCCTCTAAAGGCCTTCCCACATTCCTTACATACATAGGGCTTCTCACCAGTATGAATTCTAATGTGTCTAATAATCTCTGAGTTCTGGCCAAAAGTTTTCCCACATTCATTACATTCATAGGGTTTGTCTCCGGTATGAATTCTTTGATGCCGGATAAGCTCAGAACTTTGACCAAAGCCTTTCCCACATTCATTGCACAGATACGGTTTTTCTCCAGTATGAATTTTCTGATGTCTGATGAGACCTGAACTATGTTTGAAGGCTTTGCCGCACTCGTTGCACTCATGGTATCTTTCTTCAGTATGGATTCTCTGATGCTGAATAAGCTGTGAACTAACCCTAAAGGTCTTCCCACATTCATTACACTCATATGGTTTTTCTCCAGTGTGGATTCTTTGGTGTAGAATCAGGGCTGAATTCTGACTGAAGGCTTTACCACATTCTTCACACTTATAAGGTCTTTCTCCAGTATGGATTCTGTGATGGTGGATAAGGTGGGAACTCTGAATGAAGGCCTTTCCACATTCATTACAAGCAAAGGGTTTCTCTCCAGCATGAATTCTCAAGTGTCTTCGAAGGCTTGAGTTAGTTCCAAATGTTTTTCCACATTCTTTGCATTCAAAGGGTTTCTCTCCACTATGAACTCTCATATGCTGGATAAGATGTGAGTTCTGATTAAACGCTTTCCCACATTCTTTACACGTATGAGGCTTTTCTCCCATCGAACTTTTCTGTGTTTTGATAGGTTCTAAAGCCTCTATGAAGTTTTGGCCTGAGGTAGCAAACGTACTAACTGCCTCTGCTATAGTATCTCCCTGATGTGTGATCAGATTTGGGCTGGAACTGCAGACTCTTCCACTTTCACTATTCTCCTGTTTTTTCTCACTTGAAGGTGATTTTTTAAAGATAATCAACCCAGATGCAAAGTCTCTTTCCTGTGGAGACATCTGCTCCATAATCTCTTCTGTGGAATCTCTTGAATGCCCCTCCAACATATCTTCAAATTCGTGACCCTGGTAAACCACCTTTGGAAGTTTTTCTAATACTGCCCCACGTGGTTCAGATTCTTCAAAATGTTCTTCCTTGGGAATTACCTCCTTGTTCTCAGTTCCCATCTCACAATCTGAAATGAGAGAGGTAAGTATGTGAAGTGGCCATATCATATTTAAATGATGTTATTGCTAGAGCAGTAGGGAGCTTTGACATGGTTCTGACAGCATTCAGAAATAGTTCTATTTGGTGAAATGACAGGACAGTGTGAGAAAAAAGATTTAGGATTATGGTGGACATGCTAGTTAGATAGCAGATGCTGACTGAAAAGAATGAGAAAAGTTACCAGAGGGGAAAATTTAAGGAAAGAAACAAGAAATGTATGTTAAGATGCTAATAAGAGTTCCAAAATACTAACAGTAGTTGTGGTAGAAGCTGAGATTGGTAAGGAAAACACTTAGGGAAGATGGTGTCCATACTGATAGGTATATGGAAAAGATTAAGAGATGAGAGAAATTACAGATCAAATGAACTAACTGTTGGAGTAGAGAGTAAGTAATCACTGAGCAGCAAGAGGAGTTATCCTCGGTCAAGTCCTGTGGTACTCAACAGCTCTGAAGATGAGAGTATTATATAGAGGTTACCCCTGAAAAAAGATTAACATGTGCCATTAGTTAACTATAATGAGCACAGAATTAATTATTTTTGTCCCACATTGGATGAAGGATCTAGTTTAGTTATCGCCAGCCAGATGGTTAGTAAACTGTATCAATACCTATTTTACTTTTCCATACTGATTTGAAATGCCACTTACGCCACAGCTGAAATGTCTACATATATTTAGGTCAAATTCCTGACTACATTCAGTCCTATATACCTGTCAATTCCAACTCTAATCTCAAACTGTTTAACCTACTATATTTATTAAAATTTATAAAATTTAATTAAGAGAAATTGCTCTCATTAGTTGTTTCTCAACTATGTCCTTCTATTCTCATATTTTTCCAAATAAATTTTAGTATTATAAAATTTCCAAATTTTTTTTGATTTTTTTTGTGCAGTCTTTGATTTTTACATACTAATTTTGTAATTAACCCCTTTATTGTGTTTTCTTAATACTATGACCCCTGTTGTAAACTTCTAAAAGGATGTGGCAAAGTTTTTGTTATCCATTCTTCACCACTTCACCAGCAATAGAATAATGAATTTATTCTATGTAGTAATGAGCTGAACTAAAGAAATACATCCCTCAGCTTTTTTTTAGCACTAAGCTTGCTCATGTGACCATCTTCTGGCCAATGAGACAGTACAAGGAAAAGAAAGCACATGGTACTTCCAGGAAGTTTCCTAAGGGTGAAGAGATGCATTTCTTACCCTTTTCTTCCATGCCGGGCCACTGGATGCACACTACTAGTTGCCATTTGGTGGCTTCACTAGAAAGCAATAGGCCTGCACAGGGAAGATCACTTAGAAGGCTGATATGACATTAAGGTAAGGGGTGATGAGATTTAACTAGGGGAACAGCAGTCAAGGAAAGAGGAGACAAAGTGCAGAAATATTTCAGAGGTCAAGTTATGTAAACTGGTGTGTGACTGGATACAGGTTATAAGGAAAAGGAAGTTGTGAAAGATGGATGACCAGAGGTGAATAGCAGGAAGATGGGAGGACTTGAAGAAGCAACTAGTTTAGGGTTGTGTTGGGCAGAAAAATTACGAGATTTCTACACAGAAGTCTCAAGGAAGAACATCTATCTGAAAAGCTTACTTGGCCATGGGCCACATTGCTATGTGGCTTAGAATCCATTCTGTGGCTATGCATTGTCTGAAGGATGAAGTCCCATAGCTGCCCATCTCCCCTGGAGAATCACCTTCCACAGTGAAAATGTACTGGGGGGAGGGTTATGTTTTTCAAATTTTCTGTCAAACACATTCATCTAAAGCTTGGAGCAGGCAGGTCTAGCAATACAGATGTGAGATGGCAGTGTATGTAATGTGACAACTGTCAGAGACTGAGGACAGAAACTTAGAAAGCCAAAGGTAACATTAAAAAGTATACTCTTTCATCTCTCCACCCCACCTCCCACCCCCAGATTTTTCTACCTTTCTCCACCCTGCTGTCTGCCCCAGAACGCACAGGACATAGGTTGAGACCCTTGGGCTTCCAGATATGTTCCATCAATTGAAAGTCTCAGTAGAGGCTGCAAGAAGGGAGAAAAGGGGCCTTCCCTGATGGGCAAGGGGTTAAAGCGCAGCACTATGGAGCTATCCGCAGCCACTGCAACATGAGTTCAATCCCCAGCCAGGGAGCTGACCCACAGGGTGCAGCAGATCTCTCCTGTCGTGTCCACTGCTCCCCCCAGCAGTGTATTTCAGCAGATCCACCTGTTCTGCTCCCCACTCTGTCTCTGGTGAATCCTCTCACCCCTGGAACCAGTTCTTGTATGCATGGAAAAAGGAAAAAAAAAAAAAAGAGCGGAAAGTAAGGTCAGGGTATCTTCTGAGGTCACACAGCTGGTAGTGTCCCTCCACTACTCCCCTACTCATTCATAGCACTATCTGGGTTCCAGTAACCTTTTCTACTTATTTTTTCAGGTCTGAGGCTGGTGATCACTACTGCCAGCCCCAGATACCTCTACACCCTACCACACCTCTATCATTTATATTAGCCTCCTTACAAATAAACCTTCCTCAAACTATCCTAATTTGACTGAGTTGTTTCCTGTTCACATCCTAATAATGAAGGAGTGAAGAGAAGCCTGCCAAGAAGATACAGAATAGTTAGTGAAGTGTAAGAATCAGAAGATTAGGTCATAGATGCCACCGAGCAATGGCAGTGGGAGTTAGGTGTTACATGCAACTGAAAGGCCTGGTAGGATAAGAATTAGATAATGTCTGATGAGTCAACAGGTGGTCACAGAGGACCTGTGAAAATAGGTTCAGTGGGATAGAAGCAGCAGGAGTCAGGTGCCAGTGAATTAACTGATCAATGAATGTGCTGCTTCTTTCAAAAAATGTAGATGCACCACATGACAGTAGCATTGAGCGTGCCGCAGGGTCAAAGAAGGATTTTCTCTGATGGGCAAGAACTAAGACCCTGACCATTCTTTTACTACACATTATCCAGTGACACAACACTGTCTTTTGTTAAAGGTTGTGTTTGCAGGTAACTTCTCATATACAAATTAAAGTTGATCTCCATTTGGTTGATTTTCCCAGAAACACAAGCACACATTAGGCCTGGTGCCCATATGAACACTCCACTACTCACAGCCTTATTTCAAATTTCCAAGCACAATTTTTAATTTGTTCTTTACTTTTTTCTAAATCTGAAAAGTTTCTGGAAAGAGAGAAGATGGAGATACCACCTGGGGAGGAGGTTGACCACTCCTGGTCCTGTCTCAGGACCAACAAGCAGCCCTGTACTGGGTCTCTATAGTTCAGACAACATCTTTACTCTGCAAACTGGGTCTCCACAGTTCAGACAGCATCTTTACTCTGCATTTTGTTTTGTCGACCTACAGGAGGAGAGCGGACTCCGAAAATTTCCTTCAAAATAATACTGATACAGGCCCTCCCTGGTGGTGCAGTGGGTTAAAGCCTGGTGGCTGAGAAGCTAAAGCCACTTCTGCATGAGTTTGATTCCCGCCTGCCTCGGAGGTGACCACATGGCGTGGCAGACCTCTCCTGACCCCGCCCACTGCTCCCCTCAGCAGTGTACTTCATCGATCTGCCTGTTCTGCTCCCCACTCTGTCTCTGGTGAAGCCTGTCACTGTCCCTGAGCCTCTGGCCTATACCCCAGTTCTGTATGTACAAATAAATAAATCTTTAAAAAATAATAATACTGATACATTAACCAGATACCCACCTATTAATGAACATGATAAATAAAACCTAGAAACTAGAAAGCATCACACTGCCTACATGAAAATCTATATAGGAAGCCAGATAAAACCCTGAAAATTATTAAGTAGGCTGCAGTTATAGCAGGAAGATGTATAGTTGAATGACTCTTAATAATGATTCTGAGCCTGGAACTAAGTTAGATATAAAAGAACATACCGAGAAATTAAAAACACTAACTTCTGGGCCTCCCTGGTGACCTAGAGGTTAAATCTAGGTGCTACCACAATGAAGGCCCACCACCTAGGTCTGAGTCTCCAGCCAGGGTGCTGACCCACATGGCACAGCAGATCTCTCCTCTCTCGCCCGCTGCTCCCCTCAGCAGTGTACTTCATCAATCTGCCTGTTCTGCTCCCTACTCTGTCTGTGGTCAATCCTCTCACCCCCTGCATCTCTGGCCATACCTCCATTCTTCTACATAAACTAAATAAATCCAAAAGAACAAAAATACTAACTTCCATGTCCCATTTCTGACCTCTAAAGAATCAGAATCTTCAGGGATGCAACAGGGACCTGTATTTTTATCAAATGCCCCAGGTAGTTTTGTGGCCCAGCCAGGTCTGGAAACACACTGTGTTAAAAATTTTAACTGCAGTTAACCCACTAAACCTCCTGCATCCATTCCTACCCAAGGTCTGGCCTACCAAGCAGATCAACACACGTGTGAAGCAGTAGGAAAATAAACCACTCCAGTTACTGCAGTTCTGATGTCTTTTCTCCTACCTTCTAGCTGGACAGTGCCTTCCCTAGATTGGGCAGATAAAGTATAATTAACTAGACCCCCCCTTTTCTGAATTAAATATCATATTTCTACTGCATTTATCAGATGACTCCTATTATTGTGACTAGACCTGAATTTGTCCAAATTCCCTACATCAAAGTTTCCAGCAATCTCTCATCACAATAATGTCACTTAATCCTTTCAACTAATTATGACAAAAATCATGACTTGTAGTAAAGTATATATGAACAATTTATCAGCAGTCAGACTGGGTCTTTGAAAATTCTCTTGAAAGCAAAGATTTGAATTATAAAGGTCCAAGAATCACTTACTTCCTTAACAAACTGTCCTTTTGTGTGACACTTCAGGCTTGTCTAAGTGACATAGCACAGTAAAGATAAGGGAGGCAGGGATGATAGGTATGTCTCTTGTAAAAGAGAAAAAGCATTATGAAAACGGAGATTTAAAAGAAGAGAAAGTTATAGGCTACAAGGTTATTCTCAAGTAGATGAGTAATACTCAAGGATACAAACTAAAGAATTTAGAAACTGCGTTCCTCTCACCAGTTATAAAAAGTGTTTGTGTACCCCCTCCAAACACTTGTCTGAAGAGCACAGGGCTACTGCACATTCTGGGCAGAGAATGGGTGGTCTAAGAGGCAAGATGGGCAGAAATAAGAAAACATTCTGATCTCAATGGAATATGTGAAGAATTGGGAAGGAGGAAAGATAAATGAGAATATACCGGCATTTTGATTTGGAAAATGATGTTTTTACTATGCTGTGCATTTATAGACATTCAGTAGTTGAACTTCACCTCCTAACAGAAAAGTAGGCTGGCATGCACCAGTGAGGAGTTAATCAGCATGTTACCTGACTTTCTCTAGCAACACTTCTGACAGCCCCAGAGCAGACTGGGGAAGTAGTAGTGTAGTGGAAGATAACTGAGATAGGAAAGCCCATGAAATGGGGGGAAGGTGGGAGGAATAGGATGCTACCAGACGGAGGTTATAGAAAGGCTGAGTAAGAACACAAAACCAAGGGCAAGTATCCTTAAATTGGGATGAGGTTTTATTTTGCAATGTCAAAACTTATAATACACCAACAACATTCTTTGCAACTATTAAGATTATGAAAAATGATGAAACATTTAAGATATTAGTTTACAAATGTATTAAGGGCATACAAAGCTTTTCAAATGATTGTAAAGAGGTTTGCATTTCCTTAGGAAACAAGTACATTGATAAGCATCAGTGAGAGAGCAAGGGGCCTCACTCTTTTGACAGGAAATCTGACCTCACTCAAGAACTCCAGGAATGAGTCCCAACTAAGTTAACCCAGTTAAGTTAGTACTGCCCACCTTTGTAAGTGAATGTTCAAAATAGCGGGACTAGGCCCTCCCTGGTGGTGCAGCTGGTTGGAGCGCTGCACTGTGAAGCTAAGCCAAGCATTTCTGTGCGAGTTACACGCCTGCCCCAGAGGTGACCCACATAGTGCAGCAGACCTCTCCTCTCTCGCCTGCTGCTCCCCTCAGCTATGTACTTCATCCATCTGCCTGTTCTGCTCCCCACTGTTCCTGGTGAATCCTCTCGCTGTCCCTGCATCTCTAGCTGTACCCCATTTCTGTATGTATAAATAAATAAATCTTAAAAAAAAAAAAACAGCAGGGACTGGTCAAGAATGCCTTCATCTGGGTCAGTGATATATATTTTTTAAAGATTTATTTATTTATGCTTACAGAACTGGGATACAGACCCGAGGTGTAGTGGGTGAGAGGATTCATCAGTGACAGAGTAGGGAGCAGAATAGGCAGATCTACGGAAATACTCTGCTGAGGGTAGCAGCAGGCAGGTCAGGAGAGGTCTGCCACGCCATGTGGGTCAGCTCCCAGGCAGGGATGGAATTCATGCTACACTGCTTTGGAGAGCTTCATTATGTGGTGCTTTAACCTACTGTACCAAAAGGGAGAGCCTGGGTCAATGATATTTTGAGGAAGTTTACTGGGAGCTTCTAGAAGCAGATCCCTGCCATTTTGAAAGAATCCAGAAGTATATGTTTTTACATATATTTGCCAGGATCTGCTATTTCCATCTCACTACCACCCTGTGGATGAAGGCTAAGAAAATCTCGGGGAAATGGAGTCAGGGCCCTAGATGACTAAGTCAATCTGCCTCTTGAAATCCAATTATGGGAGTTCATACACATGCATGTTAAACCAGCTTGAGATGGACTGTTAACTACAGACAAAAGTATTTTAACTGTTACAAATACATGCCATCTAAATAGCTGGATCTACCAAATGCTCAAGATGTTACACAGGATCATATTCTCTCCAAAGTCTTCAGCAACATCTGCAGGAAGGGGGCCCTCAGTATTCAGAAGCAGCATTTCACTCCTTGCTTTGTCCTACATTTATCACTTAACAGCTTGATACATGTCACATCCTGTTTATTGCTCCTAAAACCTACACAATAAAATTTCTTAACACGGTCCTCCTGGGCTCCCTTTCCAAGTCCTGTCCACAATCTCCAATGGCTGAAGTTGCAATAATGCCAGAGTGCTGCATTTCAAACACTTTCTAATCTTTAAAGACTGTTCTTTGCCTTTGAGAACAGGTTATATTCACTTCTCAAAATACTACTGATCACTGCACACTTAACAATTACTTACACCACTCAGATCAAGCACACACAGATCTCTTCATTTTCTTCCTTGACTCTGCCCCTACAATAGAAACTCCATCTTGTAGCCCAACCCACTGAGTTGTAGTCTATTTTCATGCTTTCTTTCTTCTTTATACCTTGAACAAGGAAGATATTCTAATTCATCCTGTTATTCCCTGTGCCTAACACATCTTGAGTATGTGGTAAATATTATAAAATTTGTGTAAATGTCTTCTCTGTATCACCAGTCTGTGATACAAAGAGGATGAACTGCATATTTTATTCACTTTATATCTGAAGAAGAGTTTCTGGCACATAGTTGGTGTCAGTTACTATTTGTAACCAAGTCCTCCCAATCTGATGTTTTATTTAAAGCACTGTTATCCTCCTTTCCTGTCACTAACCACCCCCCTCGGTCGCCACCCACCGGGTTTCCACAAACGAGAAGGCTCTGTTAACTCTGTGCTCAAACCTATCATCTTTCCATAACGAATCCTCCTTAGCCAATATGCGCGAGGGCCTTAAGATTTTAATACCGCCCTACATTTCGTCCCTGCGGTTTACTCGGGGCTAAAATCACAGACCCCATCGGCCTCCACGTCGGGGCCCCTGCTAGTCCCGCCCCCGCTCTGACAGGCACAGATTTAGAGCTGGGGGCCAGGCGGCGTGCAGGCCCCCACCCCCTGTGTGCAGGTGAAGAAATGGAGGCCCGGAGGGGACCACAAGTCCAAGGTCACACCGAGAGCCCGGGTCAGCAACGGGCCTAAACGCTGGGTTTCGGCTCCGCTCGCCGGCCGGGGTGTGGGGAGCCCAGCGCCCTCCTCCCTCCCACCAGCCGTGACGGAATGAGGTCTCACCGCAAGCCGCTACCGCCCCACGCTCGCTCCGCTCGAGCTCCCGGCGCTGCTCCGCCTGCTCGCCCAGAACCCGCAGCTGTTGTCTTGGTTTCACGGGCGACGGGCACCGGCCACTTCCGGTACCCGGGCGCCATCCAGCCAATCAGCGCGCGCCGCACTCAGCCGGGCGAACAGGTGGTCAGCGCACCAACGCTCGCTCACCTTTTCCACCGTTGCTTTGGCAGGGCTTTGCATTAAACCAAACGCCGTCTCTCCTCTTCTTGGCAAGTCAGCTCCCTGGCGTGCCCCTTTGCACCGAGCGGCGCCCGTTTCTGCCCAAGGATCACTGAGGACCTGGGTCCGCCAGGTTCCTAGAAAGGCTCCAGGGATGCACTTCCGCCCTGTGGCAGCCGCTCTGCGCGCTGGTGTCGCTCGCCAAGCTTTGGCTTGGGTTTGAGTAGTTTGGGGTAGTCGTCCCTCTCAGACGGGGGTGGGATTGTGCGACTCCGTTAACTGCCCCAATCCGCAACCTTAGCGCCACACCCTCTTTCCTGAGCTCCGTGGGGCTGGTGAATAAAGACGCCGAGAGCCCTGAAGGAGCCTGTCATCCACTGGAGGCAAAAGGCAATCTGTTCTGAGGTCAGGGAGGAATTACTGGAGGTGAAACTGTGTCCATGAAGGAAATTGCGAACCTGGTAGCATAAGTGTTTCCCCAAGTCCTTTTGAACAAGGCAGACTAAACTCATGAGCTCATGAGCACAGCCTAAACAATTTCACCTACCACCACCACTACCTAGGCCATGGAAAGGGGTAGACCCAGATTTAGGATTCTCTCCCTCCCTGGGGGTCTGTGCACGCAGTTGGAGTGTACCCTATGCACATGACCAACTCAACGAGCTATGAAGCTGCTCTCCGCTTGCCTCACGGACCCTCCCTTTATATATCCTCTCCTGGGCCCTCCAGTGGCGCAATGGGTTAAAGCACTATGAAGCTAGACGCAGCCACCTAACGAGTTCGAACTGCAGACCTCTCCTGACCAGCCCGCTGCTCCCTTCAGCAGTGTTCTTGGTCGATCTGCCTGTTCTGCACCCCACTCTGTCTCTAGTGAAGCCTCACCATCCCTGTACCTCTGGCCTGTACCCGAGTTCTGTATGCATAAATAAATAAATCTTTAAAAATATATTTCCTCTCCTCAGTGAGAATGGCACATCTTCAAACAACTAGCAACAACAAATGTTGGCGAGGATGTGGAGAAAAAGGAACTCTCCTGCATTGCTGGTGGGAA